ACACACTTTTAGTACCGTCTGTCTGCCAAAGCCACCATTACCCAAACTTCATGTTTGGCCATGGTTCTTAGCTATGTTGGGAGCATGCGCTGACAAACTTTCAGCCTTTATAAAATAACGTAGGTCTGGCGTTCACTAGCCCTTAGTCTATTACTTTCGGAAACTTAATTTTGGAAACCTATCTTTTGAAAACTTACATCAGGAAACCTCTCGTAATTTAAGACACCCAATTTTCAAAAACCTAACTTACGTAAACTAAGTTATATAAACCTTAGTTTGATTTTGAAAATGGGACATCACAAAGTTTTGAATCACTCTTGTCACACAATATTTCATCGATCCTTGAGTACCTACTGTTAATACAATTATGTATTAGAGTTTGTATTTGTAGTTATTTTTATGTAGACGGTAGTTACCTAATTCTTAAAGAAGCCCAGAAGATAACAAATACTGCTTGTTTATATTTCCAATAAACCGAAGAGTAAATCTCGACTATACAAGAACAAATTCAGGTCCGGCTTCATCACGATAGGCCCTCAGACCCACCATTAAAGATAATGGCTAGGTCGGAAGCTAAAGGACACACACATTATTTACCCCGTCGATGACCATCTTTAACCTAAAAAATACCCGGTGGAATCCTCTTAAGCCTTTATTTGGCCGATGGGAGTCTATTAGAAAGATATTGGTGATAAGTCGATGGTATCTGAGCCACTTTTTCAATTTGATTGCATAGTTTAGCGACGCTTTGTTTGTATTTGTGTCGACTTTTTGATTATAGAATCTAATTCTTCTATGACTTTTGGCCAAAAAAAATAACATCATAATAAAACTTTTTTCTGTGTGATTTTTAAAGATTTGAAATTTAGATGGAAAGAAAGAAAATTAATTTATTGGTTCAAACAATCATTTTTAAGTGGATATTTGACGGAATAAAATTTGCTGAACCAAAATGTCATCTACTCAGCGTGTATTATGCTCTAAACATGACGCTGGTATTCTGTAGGTGCCACCTTGATTAGTTAATGGAAATATCAGATGAACAAACGGGTCTGGCACCTATTCCCCTAAATTAGAAGTCAGCAATCAATCTGATCTTAAACTCATCGTTTTATTTAGAGCGTCACTGCGCCTCATTCTCAGCAGATACTCACTATCTATCTTAAACCCAGAGAATCTCAACATTGTGAACCTCCACCGCAACTTGGCAGAAAGGAAAAGTCTTCAAAACTCTGAGAAGTATAAATTAAATCGATGTTTCATTGTAGTTCCCTCGACAAGTTTCGAGAAAATAGACAAAGTTACTCTCAATCAAGTTTTTGATGTTATAAATCTGTTAGTACAGAGTCGGAACAGGTGTAAACCGACGCTATGGAGATTATAGTGTCCGTGATTTCCACTCGGTATGGGGCACACTGAAAACCAGCGTCGTGGCCTTCCCTACCGTGGGTCACGGCATATGCTGAGTGAAGTCCCATTGCGATGGGCATCGCTGTTGCGACAGGGTAGCACTGCTCAGTTTACTTTTAATTTCCTTGTAATATAGGTATGTGCTATTTCTGTCTTTTTTCCGTATACCTTCTTTGTCCTTAAATAAGTGATGTTCATCGTAATATTTCTTTCTTTCTTTCTTATTTGCTGCTTAATTTTTAAGGTGGGGCCTTAATTCTAAATGTTTGGGAACCTTTCGCTACGATAGCTTCTAGTTCGATGCAATTTTAATCCTGTCTGATAAAGCTGGTGAGCCCGTGCTTCGTGGAGCACTCCACTATGATAAGTATTATTGGAGACAGGAAATACGGACTTATTTAGTGGGGTTATGTCAGTAAGTCAAACAGGAAAGTTGGATAAACATCGCTGTACCGAGTTGATTACTTTCTTGGAACCAAAAAATAGCATTTTTAAGGGAAACTAAATAATGCTTTTCAATACTCAATACTCAATATTTTATTGCATCCATTATGTACTTAAAATTAGAACATTATGGGCCCTGTAGGGCACGGCAATTAGGAGAGAGGAGGACCACCCTAGATCAACCGAAAGATGTCAGAAGTTAGAGCCTAGTAATTTATCGTTGAGATACTCACTTAGAGCATAATAGTATAATGCTATGATTATGGATAGCAAAGAAAACTAAAACAATATTTTGTTGCAAAATCAAAGAGCGAAGAATTATGAAGCTAATAATTACCTTTATAATATTATGCTAGACAAATTGTTTCGCGTTTTATCTTAAATGGTCCTTTCTCTATTTCCCGTGAAAAACACAAAGCAATGAGAAAAGAGTAAGTACGTAAGCCTAGAATCTATAAAATAAGCGCAAGGATCAAGAGTTAGTAAATCTAAGCTAAGCTGAACTAATGAAATATTAATCCAGCTCGCAGTGGAGTCAGCCGATCCTCTACCTATCTGCTTCATTCTATCGGCGAATAATTTACTTCACTTTGCTTACAAACTGGGTCAAAGCATAGCAGGCAATGTAGACATTCCACACAACAATAGCCAAGTCGACTTGAATTTCGTGAGGTCAAAAATGGCAAGTTCAAAATCCCTTGATCTAACAAAGGTTCTTCTATTCTAACTAATAAGCTGATTTGAAATGATTTCCAGTTATGAATGTGCAGTTCAAACGTCTGATTTATTTTATCATCGCTCGGAATATGATTTAGATCGCATCAAATTAAGATTCTTTATTACTATGTAGAAAACAACAAAAATGAAATGAGGAGGAAAAAGACACAATTACCAGATGTTTAAGTACCTACGAGCTAAACAGCTAAAGTTGACGCCCTCTTGTAATTTAAATTCTCTTTATGGTCCTTTTCTAGACATGTTTACAGATTCCACTACGAATGAATCTCCTACTTTGCAAAACCTGAAGTTTGAAAAATGGTAAGTTTATTCTTAACTTAAACTTGACTGACACGCGACCGCGTGTGTAGATTTCTTTTTTATAATGATGAAAATCTCTACGGCTGTCCCTTCGTCAAATACGATCGCCAGTCCCGGTCGTTATGAGCCAAATATTTATATTTACTGCCTTTAATGACCAGCCTTTATTCGTCTCCAAAACTGTGCCTTCTACTCCATTTCTCTAATCTTACGGCTTCGGATGGATAGCCTCATCATCCTGCCCATTGGAAGTACACCAAGCGTAACGAGCCACGGTTATTCACGTACTCTTTCGGTACTTTACTTTTTCACTTACATAAACAGTCTACCTTCAAAAAGGATTTCTTTAGAAACGTTAAATAGAGTAAAACGTTTAGCGGAAAACTTTTCCTTATACAAAAGAGACGGCTTACACAAATACCTACTTGACTTAGAATAGGTTGAATAGTTTTGTGTCGTCCCCTTTCGCAGGATTTCGGCAGCTTTTGCCTATTAAAACTATTTTGTTTAGTCATCTCCCTAAATCTTAGCTTTGTGTAGACTTGCTTAATGCTGATTTTGCATGATATGAAACGTATACCTACAAGTTTGGAATAATAGAGACGCTTTCATAACAGTCAATCGCTTCTCTGTTTACTTTTTCAGTTTTTTCTAAGAACACATTTAAGATTTTTACATTTGTAGTAACATTCCATAGATAAACTACACAACAACAAAAAATACTTAGAAGAATCTTATTTTTCAGCGACGAAACGTAAATCATTTGCTAGGATAGACGTCTGTTTTTTATTTTATTTCTGTCTGGCGTTATTTTCCTAAGATTTTAACCGTAAATAATGTCTTTGTTTAACGTCAGCTCTGTTTTCTAGTTGACAGTTTAATTCAATTCGAATGCATCTCATTGCCAGGATCGTTTACCAGGAGTCGGAGCGAACGCTGCGTTTGTGCAGCCGACACATTTTACTCTCTTTACTGCTCCGTCCTTTGTTACACTCCTTGAAAATTTAAAATCAGTCCCACCTGTAAATTCAGGGGCGAAGCGGCCGAGATGCCAGTGAATAAATTATTTTCCTACGTATCGAGGTGAGATACCAATATACCGCTGAGATTGGTCGGACAGCTACAAGTATCTCAGGGGCTCATCCCTGGAATAAGGCTGAAAAGAAAACCTGTAGCGTGTACACGCTAGGGATGAAAAAGAACAGTGGTTAGGTCGTGTTACGTGGTAAATTTTTCAAGCACAGATTTTTTATTCAGGCTTTAGGGTTGGTACCTGGGTTGTGATTACGATGTTCTTGCGATATAAGAGACGTCTTTGAATGCAATCTGTATAAATACCACCTAAAGTAAGTGTAACTTTTATTCAAATTCCAATAACTTATCGATATTCTCGTAAGTTCATGACTACTTAATTTCTGTATTTTTCATTCAATTGCCTACTATTTTTATTTCTTTTTATCTTAGATATTATTCATTAAATATCGTAGGTAAATTAATTTTATTTGATCGGAATATTTATTAAATGCAAAATATTAATTTCCAGATCGAAGAACAAATAAAAGCCCGAGATAGAGTGTTCATAACAACTGTTTTGTAAAAAAAATATTCAGAAAAATCTGCGAGCGACTTACATTTTCCTAGAAATGTTGGTGCTTGTTTAGTAAACATTTTTATTAAATAAGTATAAGCTTTTCGTTCCACGCCATAAAACTAAGGCTATTTTCAAAATACTACGATACCTGAGCTGTAAACACATCGACATAGGAAGATTTACAAGGGAACTCCTGTTTTTTTACAGTCGTTCTTTATAACTTACTGTTATTTCATTCCACTTAAGTATTTCGCTTCCCTAGCAAATCTATGCTATAATAAGTACCTAGCATTAACTGTACGTATAATACGAGTATTTAAGTAAATACCATAGATAAATATGGGATAGCAATAACAGCTATTAAACCAGTCCTATCGAAATACAGTCCACTCTTTTATTTAAGTTCCCAGTAGGAAGGACCCTTTTCAACATCATAATTACTTTTCATTCTAATGGCGCCCTTGAGTTCAAAAATACGAGTATAACACCACAGATAACACTACGCGCTGTCACGTAGATAACGTTTGTTTCAAGTCAGTTTACAAGACCATATCGCAAAGTGAGTACGAAATTTTTATTTCAAATATTATCTTAGTTTTATTACTGTTTATACAATTAAGTTACTTTCAATAGTTTTGTTTATTTACCTCTTCTATTTAATTTTCAGCGCCAAAATACTGGTGGAATTTAATAAGTAAATTTTATTCGTAAGAAGTGCTCATCAGTTTAGATTTGTCTAGAAAAGATAGCTACCATGAATTTGCTGAGTTCACCATGATTATGGTATATGTGATAAAATAGTAAATAGATATTGTATTCGGGAATAGTGTAATCCCATCAAAAACAATACTTGTCAAAAAAACCAAGTCTCGCAACTCAGTTGTTCTACGGTAAAAAGTTGTGAGATCCATGTAATACCAAGTCCAGGCCAGGAAATCTTTAACGTTTTACATAAATTATTGACTTGGCCATCGCACTAAATAATTTAATTTACACGTGTTTTCATCAACCTTGACCCGTTATAATTCTTAAACTACTGGTTCAAATTGAATGAAATTTTAAATATACCGTGTCTTTACAATGCCTGCATAGCTAATGAAAATTCAGCCTTCTAGTTTTATCCACAACGAAGTTACAGGCGGTCGAAAATGGCCTGAATTGCTTCGAGAAAAGGATGGTACGGCCGTGCCGCTTTTTTGCTCGACTTGGTGGGGGCACTGCCGTGCCCCCAGATACTGCATTCTTTTGAATTTCTTCTGCCGTTCTTCTCAGCACCAGTCGATATATTGTCCCGAAATGGTGGTAAAGCAAGCTACGAATATATTAGAGTATTATATTAGAATATATTAGAGTATTATTAGAGTAGGTCAATGTAAAAATAATGCTTAGTAAGTAAGTAGTTAAGTACAGCAGTAAATGTAACCTACTTATTCTGTGTTTGATAATCTATTCCAATATTGTATAGTCAGCACTTTTTAAACAGATACCTAAGATACAGGCAATAAATTTTGCTTAGTTTAGGTATCATTAATTACTTATGCACACTAACCTTAATTTTATCGAAACCAAACTTGTACGTGTTTAGGCTAAGTTTTTATACAGTAATAAATTTATTCTTATTCTTATTCTTATTGGGGCGTGTATTGTTTCAGCCACTGCTGGACAAAGGCCTCCGCCAAGGATTTCTATAACGACCGGTCCTGCGCTGCCCGCATCCAGTGGGACACGTGTATAAGCGCCCTGAAAATGGCCTATAATAAATAACAAACATTTTCTTAATATTTTTTTCGACAGATGACTCTACGTTGGGGCATCGTATCCGCTGGAAAAATCACCAATGACTTCGCGAATGCTTTCAACACGTTTCCAGATGTGGGGGACCAGGTCTTAGCCGCGATTGCCGCTCGAGACTGGAGTAGAGCTAAAGAGTTTGCCACACTGCACAAGATTCCTAAAGTATTTGACAGCTACGAGGATATGGCTAAGAGCAATATAATAAATAATCCTTGGACATTTTACACTGCGCCTCTAGTCCCAAACTAAGCAAAGCTTGTACTATGGGTACTAGACGACGGGATAAACATACTTATATACTTTTTTTTTTGTAAATACATACATATTATACATAGAAAACACCCAGACCCGTCACAGAAATTAAAATTCATCATTTCAATTTCTGCCCGGCCGGGAATCGAACCCGGGACCTCTCGGCATAGTAGTCCGTTCTGAACCACTACACCAAACGGCCGACATTGGTATGTTACAGAATCCGAATGATAACGATTTGTTAAAATCAATATGAGATAACTGGTGGTTTTACTGAAAATTTGGCTGAGATTACATTCAATAATATTACATATTTAGTTCAAGAATTGTTGACTCCCGAAGATAATTGCCGAAGATAATATTGATGTGACGGACGAGTCTATCTAGGGCACAGAATGTATCACTATTGAGAGGTTTATTACCAACTCATTTACAATTTATCACCTGATAAACATTGGTTGAATGTTATTTATTTATTTACTTGTATTATTCTCTAGATATCGCATACATCGGTGCATTGAACCCCGACCATTATAATCTTTCAAAGCTTTTCCTTGAGAATGGCAAGCACGTGCTATGTGAGAAGCCACTTTGCTTAACCCTCAATTTGCATGGTAGGTCCCAGGGACTCCATGTGAAACTGTTTTGGTTCATAATTTTTTTCAATACGCGAATAAAGTGCTGTGCGCTTGAGTAGCTTCCTTTGGTGTCGTGGCCAACTCGGGGGCGAGAGGTCGTCTGCGTGCGCATCACAGAAAGTTAAGTAATTGACACTTGCGGAGTCCCGTGGACTCCACCATACACTTTGCGTAACATACATTTTTATTGTGATATTATTAATATTTTTTTAATTATGGTTTATTTACGGTTTGAGTGGACCAAAAAAGCATCAAACAGTCACAATACATGATTTATCAATACGTTAGATGGAAATGAGGCCTCAGATATGAGGGACTGGCAAGAAAGTCTAGAAGAAAATGCAGACGATGAACAAAAAGAAGAGGATTTTACATCTTACGTCCCGAAAGATTTGTTTTGATGATTTTGTATTTTGATGATGTGTTTTGATGAATTACAAGAAAGACTGCTTATTTTGAAATTCATTTCACAAAAATATGCTTGTATTGTTCGAAAAGTTTGGCAGGCAATGTGCTGCTCGTAGTAGTTACTAAGCCATTGCACATTTTTTCGTGTTAATTTTTTTCTAACATTTTACATATTATTTATCAAGAAGACTGTTATGTCCACATAATTTAGAGAGAAAAAAAATTTTGGTTATTTTTTTTTCTAAGTTTAAGAGGTACAAAATGCCTATGTCGATTTTTATGTGATTTTTACGACTTCATGAAAATTTTATTTTTTAAATGAATTTTAATTAATGTTTCCATTTCTGTTGTTTTTAATTAATAGTATATTAACCATATTATGTTACCAAATAAAAAATATATTACTTTTATAAGTATTAGTATATTTTTTCTTCATTTGAAATATGGAGTCTCTGGGTCTCCACCTTACACTTAACGTAAGTTTTAGTCACCATGCAAACTGAGGGTTAAACTTGAAGCAAACGCAGAGTTTGGTCAACATCGCCAAACAAAAGAAGCGCTTTTTAATGGAAGCAGTTTGGTCCCGATTCTCGCCGATTTACTTGGCGTTGGAGAAAGCGGTGCAAGCTGGGGAATTCGGAGAGGTGAAACACGTGGACGTTACTTTTGGAACCCCAATTGCGATGATAGAAAAAAATAGGTAGGTAATGGCTTCATTTAAATAAAATGTATAAATACACAGCCAAAATCTCATTACTCGTATTTACCATTTCACTTAAAATTATTACTACCCATAATAGAGAGTTTATTATTGTTTTCTTTGGTTTATGTGGATATATTATTTTTAATGTCTGCCGCAACAAGAACTTTTGGTTTCGTTATTAAGATGTCGAGGTTAGTCCCAGAAAAGTTGCTATATTAGAGCAGTAGACCTAAGATGCGCGCCGTGATAAGTTTTATCGACGTCAAAATGTATGGCTAAAATCGATAAAATAGCGTACATATTATATAACCGCTTATCGCGGCGCGCATCTTAGGCCTACAGTACAGTTTATGCCCCTAAGTATTAGCTTGTAATTTATGTATCTTAAATTTTAAAAAGCTATTTAGGTATGTCTTCATGTTTTGACTCCACAGAAAGAAGGAACTTGGAGGGAGCTCGATACTAACTATTGGAATATACGCGCTCCAATTCGCACAATTCATATTCAAAGATGAGCCCGTCAAAGTAACGGCTGTTGGGAACCTGAACGAGTTGGGTGTAGATGTTACTGAGACAGTAGTTCTGGAGTACCAAGGTGGTAGACGCGCTGCCCTCAACGTGGATTCGACAGTTAAGTTGTGGAATAAAGCAACTGTCGTAGGGACTAAAGGCAGGATAACGGTGAGAACCCATTTTGTAGACAATGTTTCTGTTCTTGAAAACTAACCTTTACCATCTACGATCAATGACCGTTTGCCAGGCTTTGATATCAATAAACTGTCAAAAAGTGACCCTTAAAATTCATCAGAAATATTATTTCCAATACCTATAATAGGTACTTAGGCTGGGTTGCACCATCTTACTTCAACTTTGACAAACGTCAAAAATATGTCAAACTCCATACAAAAAACCGGTTATCGTTAGAGTTAAACGAAAACACCTAGGCAATTATTATTTTTTTCATGTGGTGTTTCTTTTGTTATTTTCAACAGCTTGAAGACCCTTTCCATTTTCCGGAAGTTATGATCCGCGTGGATGGAACAGTTGAAAAAATACCCTTGCATACTTCCAACATCCCATTTAAATTTATGAACAGCGCAGGACTTGTGTACCAGACTCTTGAAGTGGCTAAATGCATTAGAAAAGGTAAGGATTAGGTTCAGCTAATATCTTAAGCGTGGGGGTCATAATACCCGAATGTGGGACAAATATGCGAACATCAGGCCTCCCCAACCCGTCTGGCTAGCGTGGGGAGTAGATATATGCCAAATCTTCAATTTGCCTTTGTTAAATTAGAAAGAATGGTGTTTCTACAGTGGAGAAGTGGAAACCAAATAATGACCTGATAATGACGTAATTTTTAGACGGGGTGTCTGAAAATTACGTCATCACAAGAAAAGACGAGTTACCTTATGATGCTGATTAGGTACCAACGAACAAAATTTTTCTTATATTACCTCATAATCCTAGACATTCTGATAATCATCCTTATAATTAAACTATTTTTGCAGGTCTCTTTGAGTCCCCAAGGATGCCGCACAAAGAGAGTCTTGTGTTGGCTAAACTTGAAGACACTGTTAGAAGACAAATCGGCGTTCATTTTGATGCAGACGATGAAAAATACCCGTAACCAGGTTTAAACTACGAGGAGCTTAAACTCAGATAAGAGCATTAGGTGCTAAGTGTTAATGCCACATAAGTGCCACTTGTGGTCTAAACTGAATAAATATTTTTTGATTTTGATTTTGAATGTTGTCCCAAATAAAAAATAAATTATACACATAACATACACTTTACTTTGCGCCATCCAGGATATTTTACTTTTTGGCATAGAAAACAGCTAGACCAAAAAAAGCAAGAGACATGTTCATGCCCACAAATATTTGTTACTGTGCAGTGATCAAACTCGCGACCTCTGAGAGTACTTCGGGCCAGTAGCGGCGTAAGGGGGGGGCGGTGGGGGCGGTCCGCCCCGGGTGCCAAGCATCAGGGGGTGACACAAGTCATGCAGATTGGTACTCTGTGGCACATCTGCATGGCAAATCTGCGGTCAATGTCATGATACGGGGGGGTACGATTGTCTTTCAATCTTCGAATCGGTAGGTCCCCCACTATACATCGGTAACCCCAAAATCCTGGGGGGTNCGGTCAATGTCATGATACGGGGGGGTACGATTGTCTTTCAATCTTCGAATCGGTAGGTCCCCCACTATACATCGGTAACCCCAAAATCCTGGGGGGTACTAGGGGGTGCCTTAGGACTTATGACGGGGGGGGGGAGTGATCGCCCCGGGTACCAACCCATGCTACGCCGCCACTGCTTCGGGCAAACCAGTAGCCACGTGATGATACAAACTACATACCTCGTTATAAGAAAACAAACTATCCCAGTCGCCGTGATTGATCATTGTTGGCACAAACATTAATCCCAACTTTTATCGCTCGATACATACTCGCCTGAACTTTACTCCCCAGTAACAAGCGGCATCGACTTCCAGGAGCAATCAAAGCGGTACAGCACATTGTTACACGCCGCGAACTCGTAGCTCCATCTAACTTTGCAAGCGCGGTCATAGAATCCGCCGGCTTAACGGCTCGGCTTGTTAGGCCAGTAAATATGGCTCACTTGTGTGATATTGTACGACAATAGCTATAGGTTGATGATTGTAAATTGATTTTACGTGGATGGGGATGAATTTAATTGTCTTGTAATATTTAAACTCGCTTGAACTGTTAGACTTTCAAGACGCTACCTGAGAGATGTCATGTGGCAATGAATTTCACGCACGTATTAGATACCTAACTACATTCCGGAGACGAATGTGGTATCCACCTGTAAACAACCGAATAAGAACAATACACTTAAGTCGACATAGCCTCTTAAAAGAGCCTGCCACAAACATTTTACCAAACAATTACGTAAATTACTATAAAAGATGAACTTAATCATTTCCGCCCTATCCAGTTCCAAAGATTAACACCAAAATCACGGACTGAACTAAAAATATGAGCGTCATTTAGCATTAAGGGGTAATCACGTGACTATTATCTAATCTACGTCATTAGACGCCCTGAATCACAATTTAACTTGAACGATTTGTAACGGAGACGCGCGGCAATCTATTTAAGAGGCCACTGAATAATTTATTTTAATTAACCAAGGGAGACACTTCCATTTTTCGCTTCCATCTTATTTTGTGACTTCTCGATGGTGGCTTTCTTAAACCGCGACATTCATTCAAAAAGTTTGGAATCGAATTAAATTCGCCCCTTTAACTAAACTCAATTTTCTTTCACGAGTTCATTAAGCGAAGCCATTCCGGTGAGCCTCGGTAATGACCTCAAAAGACGTTAAATCAAGATCGAAAGGAGAGATAAAAAGTAACTGAAATTTAATACTTTTATCAAATCGGTCTTTACGTCACTCTTTGTGCCCTTTGAGTGACGCACGCGACGAATTACATCTAATAATATGCCTGTTAATGACTCTGATCGCTGAACGATCGGCATTGAATAAAGCTGAAAGCGCAGAGATCTATTCAGCTTAATGTCTTTGATCTCTTCTGCCGAAAATCTCTTGAATGTTATTTAAATTTAGTATTTTTTCACAGGGTATGTATTTCATTTTCATCTTTTTACAGTTGCCTTGTTTTAAAGCTGTGGCTACTTTTATAAATAGTTTACATGTAAGTTTAAAAGTTGTTATAGTCCAGTAGAATTAGCTTTTAAATCGGAAATAATTCCTACAAAAGATTTTATTGTTTTAATGGCTTCATTGGTTGCCCATTAAGACTCTCCTAAGTTTTCGACTTCGACGGAGTTGTGCTTAAGTGGTGGGGTGGGGGCCCCCGAAAGGGGCATTTTTTCGGTTTTCCGGTTATACCGCGTAAAAGTGGTCTTCATGACGGTTGAAGGGCACTTAATCCTGCATTGAATAAGACCAAATTCATATGTTTTGGACAAACCGTTCTCGCGCTAAAGTTCGGCAAAGTAGAAAATATACGTATAATTAATGATCCTCTCCACGTCCAATGGTTTGTTACCCACAGGCTTCCAAGTCTTGAAAAGGGCCACCTCAACCAGTGTAACCCTATCAAGGCTTACGAGCTTGATGCGCCTATCCTTGTTCGTCCCAGCCGTTCCTTAACTGCGGTTGCTGCACCTCTTCCTGGCACTCACCTGAACGACTCTGTGTTTATTCCATCTTTAGCCGGCTAATGTGCACATTAGCCAAAACGAAACGGCTAAAACTGTATTCGATGGGCGCGCCAGGCCGGCGGAGGGCTTGAGGGGACGGTGGGGAGACAACGCGTGCGCAGTTTTATTTTGTTTATTTTGTAATTTTAAATACCTACAGAAGATTATGTAATGACCAAATGGTTTACCTTATTATTTTATTTAAATGATTAGGTAGATATTGTTTTAAGTAATTAATATTTTGTTATTGTAATAATTGTAATTTTGAATACCTACATAGGTAGGTACATAAAAGTATGTGTAATGAAAGTGATTATTTTTTAATAAAGTTTTCGTGTCAAAATAGTAAACATTATTACATTGTTTCCTTTTCCATTTCCTTCTACATTTTTAGCCAAGGGCCTGCGGTTACACTTAAGTTTAGCCGGCTAAAGATAGAAGAAACTAACATTAACACCTCGTCGAAGATAAACTTAAGTTTAGCCGGCTAATCTTAAGTTTATGTCCACATCTTTAGCCGTAACATATGCATACTAAATACAGTTACGGCTGAAAAAATATAATTTTACAATGCTAAAGGTGTTTGTTGCATTTATGAACACACCCTCACCGTTTGTTACATTTATAAAACTGACACAGGCAACAAACAAACTGACTAGGTAAATTATTAAAATTATTGGTGTTTTTCTTAAGTTTGCTAAAACGAATTGTAACTTCAAAGCCAACTAGAAATTATATTTGAACATTTCTGTGTAGACAGATACCTTTTCAATTACATTTTTTGTTCACTACCTTGTTAATGTAATTCTATTTTCATCTCCAACATAACGACGAGTTTCAGAAGGTCTTAACGAGATGTTAAAGCGGCGGAGAGAAAAAGATAAAAAGTTTTTGAAGAAAATATCAATATTGGAGGCGGCAGTCGCCCGCGGCACAAAATATAACAGAAGGTAAACTCATGTATGTACCTCGCTTTGCATACCTCTCTCGCTCGCACGCTCGGCCGTCGCGCTAGGGTTGTCTTGTCATGACTGTGTTGCGTTTATTTCGATAAGATAGAAAAATGTTACTCTTAATACTATGCAAGAAAGACAGTAACAAATATCCACGTATACTTATTTATATTTAGTACGTTATTATAGTAATAGTTTGCAAACAAATACACGAGAAGGAAGTAGTATTTAGTTGAGTGACACTATTATCCAACTAATATTATAAATGCGAAAGTTTGGATGTCTGGATGTTTGTTGCTCTTTCACGCAAAAACTACTGAACGGATTTTGATGTAACTTTACAGTATTATTGTTTATAACCCTTAATAACATATAGGCTATAATTTATGACGATCTGTGACAAACTAAATTTCACGCGGGTGAAGCCGCGGGCAAAAGCTAGTTATCCAATAATTCCTAAAACCTCTCTAAAACAATTTGATATTCCTAATAATTGAGTTGGCTTTCAATTTCAATTGAAATTCAAATAAATAACTTACTCACCTCCCCGAATCAACTGGTAATTTAAAAAATGAAAATTCGGTATTTAATGATGAGTTTAAGCAACCAAATACCGAACAATTATAATACGACTTTTTCTGTTCACTCATTTTCGTCAATTTCGCAAAACAAAATAATATCACAGGCGGTTGACCGGCGCGTGACTCAAGCGAACCACAGCGAACGTGTGGCGAACGTCTGTCGCGCCACGTCGCGCTCGCATTCGTCCAAGACAGTCTTGCTAGGAGCGGTGTCTATGTGTGCGTGGCTCGAGCGCGTTTAGTATGGAGTTTGTCTTCTGTTATATTTTGTGCTTCGCCCGCGTGGAATTTTGTCTGTCACAGAAAAACTTTATCGCGCGCGTCCCTGTTTCAAAAACCGGGATAAAAACTATCCTATGTTCTTTCCCGGGACTCAAACTATCTCTATGCCAAATTTCATCAAAATCGGTTGCGAGGTTTAAGCGGGAAAGCGTAACAGACAGACAGACAGACAGACAGACAGACAGACAGACAGACAGACAGACAGACAGACAGACAGACAGACAGAGTTACTTTCGCATTTATAATATTAGTTGGGATAAAGTTGGGATTTATCGTAGGTACACTACATAAAGCTCTAAAAAACAACTTTAACAATTAACTTATTTAAGTTTCTTTGAAAAAGATACCAAGAAGTAAATTAGGTAGGTACATTAATGTGTTATTACCCTAGTTTAAGTTTGCAAAGGTTCTATCTCTGTAACGGTTTGACTGATTTATTTTTCTGTAAACGAATTGTGATTAATTGGCGATTTATTGCGTGAGCTATCAACATTTTTCGTACATAAAGTTGAGTGTAAATGCGGAAGCAGAAGTATTAGTATTAGTGTTGATAGGTAAGAAATATATTTTTTTAATTTAAAGAAACATTAAAGTACGAGTGGAAACCTGCCATGTTACATCAGTCGTATCTAATTCGGTCATAATAGAAAATGACTAGAAGAATGCGACGACAACGGCGCGCGGATTGCGAGACACGGTTTGGGCGGGCGGGCGGATTGGGAGGGCGTTCCTTGCTTGGCTATAATGGGGTTTCGATTTTTCTTTGCAGGCTTATTGTGGATTTTGAACTAATAGGATATCATTGTTGTAATGAATTGACAGATTTTTAATGATTTGTTTATCGCGATTTTACGAATAAAAAATACTTTGTTGATAGATACTTATAAACGCCCATTAGGAACCTCGCCCACGGCGACTTTTGCGACAGCATCGCTACTAACGCGCGTTAGTCGCATTTGCAACGCACTGTAGAAGTGATGCCAACG